CAGATCTTCCTAATAATTAAACGTAAGTGTAGGAGATAGAGCTGCAGGTACTTTAAATTTATTTTTTTGTTCTTACTGAGATACATGTTTGCATATTTCATAAAGTATATAATTTGAAATGAACACACTCCCAGTAAGGCCACGCTTCCTTCTTAACCCTAGCCATCTGCCTTCCTGCCCAGAGGTGACAGCTATTAATTAGTTTGGCTTGAACCCTGCTTGAGCTTTTGTGAGGCCTTTTGTAAACTTGAATATGTACCCTTAGAACATACCAGAGGGGGGAACCGATTATTAGGATCGACATAACCTCCTCCCTGGGGGATGGACAACAGAAAAGTGGGTGAAGGGAAATGTTGGACAGTGCAAGATATAACAAAGTAATTTATAAATTATCAAGGGTTCATGAGGGAGCGGGGAGCGGGAGGGAGGGGAAAGAATGAGCTGATGCCGGGGGCTTAAGTGGAGAGCAAATGTTTTGAGAATGATGAGGGCAATGAATGTACAAATGTGCTTTACACAATTGATGTATGGATGGATTGTGATAAGAGTTGTATGAGCCTGTAATAAAATGAGTTTTTTTAAAAAGAACATACCAGAGGGTAACAAAAAACCAACACCCCCCCCCCCTCCGAGCTATATATTTAAAATTTTTTAAAAACAAACCTTATCACCTTCAAAGTACTCTCCATTACACTTAATACATTTGTCAAATCTGTGATTCCATTCTTGGAAACATTTTCCAAACTCATCTGTTTGGATGGCACCTCCAGGCCCATCCCGTGTCTGCCACAAATCAGGCCTGTATTGCCCACTGTTACTCAATCCTTTTAGAACCTTTCAATAGAAAGCTTGATTAACAGTGTGAGCTGGTGGAACAAACTCTAAATGGACTGCAAGTCGACATTTTCCTCCATTTGGGAAGTTGGCGATGTGCAGACGAGCTGTCCTGGTCAGCTGTCTTCAACATCACAACACTCTCTGAGCCCTTTTGCCCAAGCAGGAAACATTCCACAGCCGCACGCTATTCTCTTAAACCAGCCATCACGAAAAACGAGGTTTGAGCGAAACTGCCTCTTATGAAAAAATTCACCGTGACCAGAGAGAACCTTCCCAGGTGACGCCCCTGGGCGCACTAACTCGGTGAGTTGCCGGATGCTCGCATAGTGGGAAAATGGGTAGGATGAAAACGCAGTTCTGGTTTTTTTTTTTTTGGGGGGGGGGGAGAACCCCTTGTATATTGATGGTGGTTTGTATTTTTATTTTTTTTCAGTGATTACATAATGCTTTAATGTGTCTCATGCAATAACAATAATATCAATAGCAATAAAAACATAATTCACTGTTTATATGAGATTCAAAATTTTGCATTGCTTCATTTTCTAAACATTTTCTAATTCAACATCTTTCATAAGTACAGTTTAATGACACCAATTACAACCTAAAATTCACATTTAACTGGGCAACCCATCTCATGATCAAAATACACTCGAACTTTACATGACTAGTATATAGCTCACAATACATAAGACTTCCTACGTGAGTTTGGTAACACTTGAAGTGATCACATACATTGTTTCCAAACAGATGAATGAAAGTAGCCCTGGATTCTACCTCTAGTTTCTAATTTGATAGGTCAAAAATGGGATCAAAGCCTGGGGTTTTCTGTTCTGTTCTATTTTGTTTTGTTTGCTTGTAGGCCCAGTAGGTCATTTCCGCAAGTTCTTTGTTTTTACTAAGAAAGTTTACACACTTACACCCCTGTTTTTTTCTATTATAAGCAGGGGTCTATTGATAGCACATGCAATTACATTTGTAGAAGTGTCGCCAGCCAAACCTATAAACGACTATTGAATGTTGTCCTTTTAGAATACCTACCTGTTCATCTTCCCTACCTGCCACCTGTGTATTCACTCATAGATTATTGTTTGTTGCTACCCATATATATTTTTATTTTTTTAATGTCATACTGTACAATTTTCTGCAACTTTTTTTCAATCAGTAATATGTCTTAGGATGTTTTCATAACATCGAGTTATCTATTGTTTCTGAGTATATAATGGTCTCCAATCTGGGAGAATCATAATCCAGAGCTCTGTGACTGCTGGGTTTTTATAAATAGTGTTGCAGTAACTGTTTGTATTTTGGTAAACTCACCTGCGTGTGTTTATTTAGGGGTGGGCACTGAGAAGAGGGAGCCCTGTTGGCTGAGTGGTTAAATGCTCAGCTACTCACTGAAAGGTCAGCGGTTCTAACCCTGCATTTGCTTCTCTGGAGGCAGATAGGACCACCTGCTCCTGTCACGGCGACAACCTTAAGAATATAGAGAGAAGAACATTACGAGGGGCTACCAGGGACAGGGAGCGAGCAGAAAGGGGTTAACATGAAGAAACCTGCCACTATCATCGTTCCTATAAGTCCTGTAAAAAATCTAGTTGGCAAAAGTTGTGTAGACACATCACGAAGATGGGGAAAGAAGGGGGGAGGGGTGGTAAAGCGTGCTTGTACAACCAAGACCCTCTGGGATTTGGTTTCTTGGTTTGGACCTGTACATTCATGGTGTCATGGGACGTCCTAGTGAATTGGCCCACGAACGTATTGAGTGCTCCCTTCTACCTCCTAGCGTCTTGCTTACTGCCTGGGGTCTTCAAGCTTGCCAGCTGTTGTGTGATTCCAGTGACCTTGTCCCGGGTTTCCAGGGCTGTCAATCTTTATGGGAGCAGAGAGCCGCATCTGTCTCCCACAGAGCAGCTGGTGGGCTTAAACCACAGACCTTGAGGTTAGCAGTCCAAAGATTTTCCAACTGTGCCACGAGAGCTCCTCACAATGCCACCAGGGCACAGGTAGCCTCTGTTTGCCTGAAACAACAGGAAGGAGTGCTAGCACTGAAGGAGGGTAGAGAATGTTTGGTTAATTACCTCCTTGAGCAACTGACTCTTTGCCGTGAGAACATTCCATCAAAGATTCTCTAGAAGAATTCTGTTCAATAGGGGGAAAAGGTAGAACAGAATTTCCAATTCCCACAGATTTCTGACGGCCTGGAGCCATGAAATTTAATTTAACACCCCACCCCGCCCTACCCCTGTAACTGTTGCCCTGAGATAATCTTTAAACCTTATCTTTTGGAAGAACTTTGGACTGGTAACCTCAGGGTCTGTGGTTTAACCCAGGAGCTGCTCTTGAAGTTCTCTCTTAAAGCCTGGCAGTAGTTTAGCTTAACTAATTGCAATAAAAAAGTCTGCCAGGAACATTATATTCTTTTAAGTTCTGTCTATAGGGGATCAAGTGAACAACAGCAACTGGAAAGATTCAGAGGGAACTCTGGGGCAGTGGGTTTACGTCCACAGGAGAGGAACGACTCAGAAAAGGAGGCTGAGAACGGCTACACCGTTCAGGGTGGGATCATTGCAGCACATATAGAAACTGTTGAATGGATGTGTTCGGCTGTGGATATTCTCAATAGCAACAAAATAACTGGAGGGATTAAAAAAAAGATGACAGCCATGGGAAATTGAGGAGGCAGTTCTACACAGTCCCGTAGTCACTGTGATTTGGAATCCACTCAAGGGCAGCAGGCTTACTAGGGGGATTTCTTAGACACATAGAGCATGTGCTAAGGCGGATGGTTGATAGACACGCCCAGCTCACCCTGCAGAGTGGTGGTACCTGCTCAGACTCCCACAGCAGGCACTGCGGCTCTTTCACCACATGCTACCCAAACTTGATGCTAAAAGACGTAAATGAAAAAGCCTGGCCAGTTAGAGATGGTATTTTGCTTTACTGTGCATTATCCAGGTGAGGGCCACCTTGTAGTGAGCCACCATTTCCTCACCTGCTTGTTGACTTTTCGAATGTATGTTCTGTTGCGTGAGCTGCGTGCTCATATCCTTGGTCTGATCGTATGTGGGGCTGTCATTTGTGGAGTTTCTTTTAGTTTCATACCACATTTTGATGGATGCAGAAGAGCCCTCGTGGCATAGTGGTTACACATTGGGCT